TATATGTATATGTATACATTATTTATTTTTTTTTATCTACAGAAAAACTGGTATTAAGGGACTTAATAATACTATAAATCATCAAGCTCATTAGGGTGAGGCGACGATTCTTCAGTGTTAATAGTCTCTCTAAGCTTCTTCTTTGCTTGTCGACGTAACTGCTTTTTGGCGATTAGGCCTTCAAGATCTTCATTATTTTCAACAGCCTAAAACAAAGTTCAAGATTGACAAATATTAATATTGAAAAATATCAATATGACGGCAAAAATTAATGATATTAAGAGACCCACATTTAAAAATTGATCCTCTGTTAAACCATCGTCATAGATTACTTCCTTGCGTTGTCTTTGCCCACGGCCATACTCAACTCCAGTATCGGGAAGTGTCTCATACTCTCTCAAATACACATCAGGTAACTCGTTCTCCTGTATAAGTCTATTGGGTACGGGTCCGAGATTACCTTTTTTACGCCATTCAGCCTCTTCATCACGAACTCTTTGTATATCAATTTGTTTGAACAATGCGAGTTCATCTTCGTTTCTCGCAAGAATTTCATTAATTTCATCATCATCCAATTCCTCGCGTTCATCTACGTCATTTCCTTCAACGTTAGACCCTTCCACGAGAGAACGCTACACGAAAATTACGAAATTAAAATAACTTAATATACATATAAGCAAAAAACGATTCAGTCTTACTAATCAGAATATTTACCAAATAGGCCTCACGTTCTTGGGGTGTACTCTTTTGATCAAATTTTCCAGCTTGGATGACTTTCCCATCAATGTCAAGCTTATATTGTGCTCTAGCAAGGACAGTCTCTTCGATAGAATTTTGACTTATCAATCGTAGAATTCGAACTTCATTTGTTTGCCCAATGCGATGGGCTCTGTCTTGAGCTTGAAGATCCTGATGTGGATTCCTATTTTAACCATTTTTTTGAATTAAAATTAAATGGTAACCATGGTAAAGGCTAATGTTTCAAATTGGTATATTATATACTTACCAATCTGAATCAAAAATAATTACAGTGTCAGCAGACTGTAAATTCAACCCAAGTCCTCCAGCACGCGTGCTAAGAAGAAAAATAAAATACGGAGAATCTGGTGCATTAAAATCTTTTAAAAGCCTTGTTCTCTCTTCAGCCTATATTTAAGAAGGGTTAAAAAGAATTTATCAATTATAATTAGTAAGATTTATCACGTAATATATGGGATCTTTGCTAATAAATCAAGTTACGGGAAATATGATTTACTATGCCCATGACTTGACTTTATTATCAAAGATCCCATACAAGTTAGATAAACAAATACCTTAATGTTACCATCCAACCGAAGAAACTTGTACTGACGCCAGTGAAGGTAATCTTCCATAATATCCATTATTGCGGTCATCTGGAAAAATATCAACACGCGGTGCTTGCTCTGAAGAAGTTTGAGCAAAATTCGATCAAGGAACTCAAATTTACCCGAAACTCTGATTAACATTGTTTCGTCATTTGTTGTATTAACATCAGTTTCGACTTCTTTGAATACGAAAGGATGGCAGCAAATCTTACGAAGCTGAATTATAGTATTATTAAGTCCCTTAATACCAGTTTTTCTGTAGATAAAAAAAAATAAATAATGTATACATATACATATA